CCTTGGGGGATGGTCCCCCTTTCGGTTTTAGGGCCCACTCCCGGGGGGTCAGGCCTAAAGGTTTGCAGCCAGGGAGGCCTCGGGGGGAGTTCCGACTAAAGGCTAAGGCCCCCCAAGGGAGCTTTGATGAGGAAAGCTGGGGGTGGCAGGAGGAGCCACGCTGTCCCGGCCCCCGCTGCCCTGGGTCCGGTTCGCCCCCGGACTCCAAGCGGGCAGGTCGATTTGCTGCTGCCCCGCCGGTCCCCCGGGTTGGTTCCACATGGTGCGCCAGGGCGGGCAGGCGGATCGCTGCTGCCCCACCCGGCTGCCCCACCCCACCGCCTCGGGTAGCAAATAGCAGGCCGGGATGGCGGCGGGGCAGGCAGGATGGCGCTGACCCCTCCTGCCTGCAGTATGCAAATTAGCCATCTTTGTTGGTGGTTAATTTGCATATCGCACTGATTAGCCAATGGGGGCGTAGTGAAGGTACGGTCAATTACCATGTGTGTCTATATCTCCCTAGCCTTAGGACAATCGGGGTTAATAAATAGCAAGGGGGCTGCGTCAAGCTCCGCCCCTCAAGTCCCCGGCAGCGGCAGACGAGTGGGGACCGATCCCCCGGTTCTCCATGATCCCGCCGGCCGGGGCCGTTTCCCCAGAGCAGAGAGGTATCTGCTGCGCCTGAGATGAGTAAACTGTCGTTTCGGGCGCGGGCGCTAGACGCCTCGAAGCCGCTGCCGGTTTTCCGCTGTGAGGATCTGCCCGACCTGCACGAATACGCCTCGATAAACCGAGCCGTGCCGCAGATGCCCACCGGAATGGAGAAGGAAGAGGAGTCGGTACGTGTTAACTCCCCTGTCCGACCCACCGCCAGGCCCCGCTCCCTCCGCTGCCGGCGGCGGCGGCGGCGGAGCACCAAACCCACACAAAATGGCCGCCATCTTCTCTCCGCCGCCGACTCTCAGTCGTTGCCGGCCCTTTACCCCGCTTCCCCTGGCCTCGAATCCCGGCCGCCGCGGCTAGGCGGGACCTCCTCTGAGGCCGCCCGCCGACCCTGGCTACTTGTACCCGGGTCCTACGGAGTTCGGGAGCCCGAAAGGCACAAAGGGGTCACGTGACGAAGCTGCCGGCAGCCATTTTGTGGTCTCAGTGGTCGGGTTGGGCCTTGTGCTTCTGGAGACGGGAACGGGCTCGGTCGCGGTGGGGGTGCGGCGCGCCGGGTGTGAGGAGGACCCGCCTGCAGGCCGCTTCGCGGGCCACTGGGTGGCGCTCTAGGGCCGCCTCGGCTTTCGCGCGCCTCTGGCTCCTGTGAGCTCAGGTTCTGTGCACCGAGGGGGCGTTTCACTTCCTGGTGGCCTGGAAATGTGGGGCCCCATGTGGAGCCTTCGGAGGCTTCAATGTTGCTTGCAGGTCTTTGAGACTTTATCGCCCCTCCCTGCAACCAGGTGTTGAAGGGACTGCATGTTTGCCCCGACGACTCTTTCAAAGCAGATTTTCTGTATACTTGGCACTTCTGCATCCATTCCCCCCCAGTTCTAGGTAGTGGGAGGATGATAAACTACTGTCTCTGAGTTTTTCTCTGATCCTTGAGAATATGTTGCAGATGATTGCAGGTATTTTTATTAGTACGTGGCTCGTCTAAAACCTGTAATTTTATTATCAGGTTTCGTTTTGTGTGTTTTTTAAGTAAAGTTCTAAGTTCGCGTGCTAATTTCTCATCACGGGGGAGAAAACACCCACTTTCAAGTAGATAGTACAGATCTAAATTTCAAAACGGACCCTTTCTTATCCGTAACCTTGCTAAAGCAACCTTAATGTTAAGATGTCTAATTAGGATGGGTTTCAGTATTTAAATATTTACAGCTAATAGACATTGCGTCATAGCTGTGGCTTTACCTTGTCGTGGAAGTTGGGTTCACACACAAGGATAATAGAATCTTCCTCTCATTTCCCCCAGATCTTTGACAGTATAACTTGATGACTTCTAATCCTAAGGAATTGCATACCTTGGGTTTCAGGTACAGCCGTTTAAACAGGGTGCAGTGTATTGACAGTTCAAGGAAGTCGAGGAATCGCTGGATTTGTGCCCTACAATTTTGTTGTGGAAAATTGTACTGTAATACCTCTATTTGGTACTGTAAGAATTTTAAATGTAGAAATTATACTCTGTAATGTTGATTTTGAAAATAAAGCTGTTTAAACTGTTTGGGTTGTTTAACCTTTTAAAGTAAAACAGTTGTGACAGTCGAATGTTACTTTTCAGAGTAGTGTCTTAAATATCACTTTACAGGTAAGCTAAGTAAGTGTATGTAGTAGTGGAGATTGTCAGTACATTATGAGATAGAACCTTTTATTTTACTTGTATCATCTTTAGTGTAGAATGGTGCCATTTGTTTATTTTTAAATAAGTGATTTGTTTTTAAAAATTAAAGTACTTGTGACTGCAGAATCTTGTCTTTGGGTTTTATTTTTGTTTCTGTTTATAAGTTTATTACAGATAATACTTTAAATTTGGGGTGTTGCAGTTACACTGCCCTGGAAATTAATTTGTAGTTCTTGTTTTGCAGCCAAGGAAGGGAAGAGCCTTGATAAAAGCAATATAGCACTGTAGTACACTTAGAAATTTAGTTAAGTCGAGCTTTAGTTAAAAGTCTTGGGCAATCCCAAGAGCAACAGCCTGAAATCAGAGTTGACTTCAGCTGAAGTATCAATATGCTTTTTAAATTTTACAGATAATTCTTGTGCACTGAAATAATTCTGAATGTTATAGTGCAATAGCTATCATTAGTTTGTAACATGTGGAGACCCTATTTTTGAGGGACATGAGGGGTGTTTTTTTTCACACAACCTTTTTCTGTCATCTGTTTAGAATTTATTTCACTTCACATCCAACTAAAACTCTGATCTGTGAAGCATAGACCTCAAGAATAGATAATGAACTTAATAGAAGAATGTGAACAGTACCAGCTAAACAGCTGCTTTCCAATCCTGTGGTTCATGCTGGTAGTTAATGGCTATATAAATCACAATAATGAAAGTAGCATGTTACACAATTATGAAAATGTATACTAAGAATAAAGGTCATTGAATTGAGTCAACCTTAGGGAAAAAAAAAACTTTTTGATAATTTGCTGATACAATGATATACTTCTTACAAAGACAAAGGATTAAAACAAACTTTTGCCTTTGATTGACACATTGGTTATGGTGTCTTTTAGGTAGGAGTGACCCAGAACCTGAATCGAATGTCCCATAATCCAATGTTGATCAAAGGTGGGACAGATTTAGATGAGGAAAGTTTTGTGTACACCACCTCATTAAGAAAGCATTTCATGATCAAAATGTATCTGCAAAATTGTCAAGTGAGCTATACCTAAAATATGGTAATTGCTACCATATTTTGTTTCTATGGTAAACTTGACAGAAATTCTACATCTTAACACTGGGAAAATAACACTTATTAATGTACTCCCATTTAACCAATTTTTATAATACAAGCTTAATACACTGACATAATGAGGCATGCCTCTTAATTTTTTAAAATATATTTTATTGATTTTAGAGAGGGAGAAGGAGAGAGAGATAGAAACATCAATGATGAGAGAGAATCATTGATTGACTGCCTCCTGCACGCCCCCTACTGGGGATCAAGCCCGCAACCCAGGCATGTGCCCTTGACTGGAATTGAACCTGAGACCCTTCAGTCCGCAGGCTGACGCTCTATCCATTGAACCAAACCAGCTAGGGCATGCTTCTTAATTTTTAAGAAACTAAGTAGAATTCTCCTCTTCCCCCCTAAATGAATTTTTCTCAACTTTGGAATTTAGTTATTAGTGTTTTGTTGTTGTTGTAGAATTGAAAAGTAATTTCAGATTATAATAGAGGGACTTGATCGAGATCATAGATGATAGGGATTAAATGTCTGAATTGATGTAATGTGTTGTAACTTGGTAAATCAAAAAGTAACAGTTGAAGGTTTTGATTTAATGAGTTAACAGGAGTAATTTTCAAATCATAGGAAGTCAGTAGACTCAGATGTCAATATGAGATAAATGAGTCCCTTTAGGGGTGAAAAGGACAGAGGTTAAAGCATTTGGGGAGGGGGCAAATGTTGCACCATTATAATATTTTTCCCCGTTATATTTTAACTTTTTAAAAATATTATAATCTTAACTTTAAGGTCTTAACTTTAAAATTAGAAGTGTTAAATAATGTTTAGTGCCACAGTTTTACCTTTAATTGAAAGGAAACTTTTCTAAGATGTCAGTAGTATTAACTTTTAAAAAATGATTCTGAAAATGTTGGTTTTAAAGTGATATTTAACAAATTGGAGTTACCTGGTTCCTAGAGTGGTTTAACTTATTTCAATGGGATGAATGCAGGCTATGTGGCTGCATTTATTATAAGGAACAGAGAAGAACCGTTTTTGTCCTTGCTTAGACTGGGTTGGGTAGGCTATGTGATGTAATTAAGATGTTGATGGTATCACATTGATATTACCCTACACAGCCACCTTAGAATTGGGGTCTAGCCGTCGAAGACCAACACCTAGTTTAAATTTGGTTCTAATTAGATGGAATAGTCTCATACGCTATGCTTTCTCTCCTCTTAAAACTATATTCTTCATTACTGGCCCAGTATACCATCTTATTAAACCCAAGTTAAGGACCGTTTACAAAGCAGATAGGTCGTTTTTGTTTTAATTAGGAGGAAATTGAAAATATGTACATATCTCTGACACGAGAAAAAATGGTTAAGCACTACATTTTCAAAACAACAAAAATCTAGTTTTTTGTTTTTTTATAAAAATAAGTTTAAATTACTTTAAGTTATAAGTTTAAAAGTTTGATTTCTCACTTTCGAAAGAAATTAATATATTTCCTTTAAAATTTTGTAAACCAAGCTTTTTTTAATCCAGATAAAATCACAAGTAATTGAGAAACAATGATAAAATCTAATTTCAACTTTTACCCTGCCCAAGATATTTTTGAATAGAAGTTTCTAAGTTGGGGTTTTGAGAGTTACATGAAATGATTACCATAATATGTATATAAAATTTTTGATGGTATATTTTTCTAGGGAGAAAGTTCATATTTGTCAGCAATTTCTCAAAGTGTTGGAAAATTGGTGGGTGGGGCTGGAGGCATGGAGAAAGCTCAAAGATCTATGCCCTAGAAGTTTCAAATGGAGTTACTTTGGTTTTATCAGAATGGCAGTTATTACATGGACTTAATTAGGAGAAGATAATTGAAAAATTAAAGGCTCAAGAAGAGACAAAAGTACCTCTCGAAAACTATAGTACTTGGGTGCCTAAAGTATTAATATTAGCTCCTGTTTCAGTGTTCTATTTGATATTTAAAAATTTGGATTAGTACCATTTGTACTTTCATTTTCTTATAAAATAATAATGAAAACTAATGGGCTTATACGTAGCTAATGGTGTTTGTGGGTGCTTTGTGGTATGTAATGGAATTTGTGCTGAACTATCTTTTCTCTGTTAATCAACAGGACTTAAAAGTACCATCTAAATATAGGGTAGCTTAAATTTGTGGCTAGGATTAAATATTAAACCAACCACTCCTACTATGGACTGGTTTCAGTTTTATCTTTTTCATTCTACCACATCATGGTATGTAGTAGTAGTCATTGTAAAGAAATATGTGTATGTATGTGCATATATAATGGCAGGAGTTTTTGTTTGTATATATAAATGTGTGGTTCTGATTATATGGTTCAGTTTTCCTGAAAAGTTAAGGGGACTTGTTATCAGCAATTGGTAATTGGTTAAAACAGTAATGGAAAGCAGAAGGTAGGATTTTACAAAGGGCAATAATGCCAT